TTATTCACGGNCGTATTTGTAAAATCTAAGTGACTCGTACAACATGGAATTCATATAAAACGGAATTATCAATAGTGTTATAGGGGGGGTCGACTTGTAAATGAAAGTAGTAGGTTATAAATAAATAAAATTTTATATTTTTTTTTTAAGAATTTCTATTACGATTTACAAGGTATTTATTTTATAGTTTCATTTTTTATTTTATTTTAAGTTCTGAACGTTGAAAATAATAAATAATTTTATCTATTTTTATCCGAAAAATAATTTATGATGATAAAAAAAAAACTCGTATCTATCAATATTTTGTAATAATGTAAACGTTGGAATTTATTTTTAATATGAATCTAATTATAACAAAGCCTCATAAGATTGATTAGGCATTTACATAAATAGATTAAATTAAAAAAAAAAAAAAAACAACGTATCAAAATTGATCTTAGGGTATAATTTTGTTACGTATTATCTAAAATTTGTACTGATTATAGTAGAAAATTTTCAACTAATTTAGGCTCTAAATAAAATTTAATGGTTTATTCAGTAGGCTCATATGGAGAGAAATGGTTGCTCAGTTATTGATACAACAACCCTCCGGGAAGAGGATGCCATAAGAATAATAAATAATAATAATGTTCATATGAGAAATCAATCGTTTTATTAATATTGATATTGCATAAAGTGTATAATTATATTGCTAATATAATATAGACTATCTGTCATTTTTATCTATCATATGACATGCCAACATTTCTAACATATGTTTTAAAAATTAATTAGTTTTACAAGCAGAATATAAAAATACGATAACAAATATACTAAATATTACCGAGATATACTTATAATAAACTTTAAAAACGTTTAACATTAAAATGTTAATTAAATTTAATCAAAATTACATATTTTTATATGAAATAACAACGGTTAGTAAATCTATTATTATTATTATTATTATTATTATTATTTGATTAAATTCTATAAAAATAGGGAAATTTTAGAATATAACAAGTATATACAGTATTTAAATAGCCTACACCCAATTCTGTTTTTACACGGAAGTTCTCTGCACGATTTTGACATAACACAGTCTGGTAAAAAAAATCGATTCCCTTTTTAACGGGATTTTACACGATTTATTATTTATATTTATTGAAATTAACTAACAGAAATTTGCCCTTTTTTAAAAAAAAAAATCCATTTAATTATAAATGAATTGATAGAACCACTGAACACTGATAGTTAGTCGTGAATTTGCACCTCGCCAACGTAAAGTTTTCCAGGTTTTCTTCACGTTTGTAACACCTAAATAGGGGTCAGTTTCACCTAAAAGTCCTCCCGGGAGACGTAACGTTGCCGTAATTAAATAAACTAAAATAAAGTTTCCGTACACAATGATTATTGACATGCAAATTTGCATGTTTCCACACACAAATAAACTAAAACCGATCGATTTTGCTAAAGGGGTGCTGTTATCTGATCGACCATGTGCTGCATTTCCCCGCCTAATCAATTCAATCCTTTTAATACGGAAAAGTTTTTATATGTCAGTTTTGTATTAAAAGCTATGCAATATCAATATTAATAAAACGTTAATATTAATTCATCCCAATTTTTATAATTTAATATTAAGATATTGAATTAAAACAATGCCTATACAAGTCTACCCCCTATAACACTGTTGATAATTCTGTTTTATATGAATTCCATGTTGTACGAGTCACTTAGATTTTACAAATACATGAGCCGTTTACAGCCTGGCTTATTCATATTTTATATAT